CCGATGGCAGGTACGAGCCGGCGACGATCGCATTCGTCGTCGGGTCGGTGCAGCGCCGCACCTGGCCGCGGGGCAGGAGGTGAGGGGGACGGGAGGACGGGGGGAGGGATGGGGGAGGAGGAGGGGGGAGGTGGGAGGGGGAGGCAGGCGGGCGAGGGGGAGGATGGGGGAGGATGGGGGGGAGGGGAAGGGGGGAGGGGGAAGGGAAGGGGAGGAGGGGGGGGAGAAGGGGGGAGGAGGGAAGGGGGGGGAGGGGGAGAGGGGGAGGAGAAAGGAGGGGGAAGGGGGGCAAAGGGAAGGAGGGAGGAGGGGGAGAAGGGAGGGGAGGAGGGCAAGCCAAGGGCGCTCGCGTCATATCTGACGTTATACCCGTCCCTCCCATCCCTTCCCATGGCGTAGGTATCTTCTCTATTCGCACAGTCGGATGTCGTAGCAAAGCGTAGCATTACGTGGCATAGCATGGTGTTGAATATCAACGCGTATCCTGACATAGCGCGGCTTGGCGACGCCCCAAAATGGGGGAGGGGGCTTCTGCGGTCCAAAGAATCAACGACTCGACACCGAATGTGGAATCACTTCCGATAGCTGTTTCGGGGCGGGGGGGGGCATTTGTTACTTTTTGGGGCCGACTTGGAAGTTCGGAAGGACCACAACCATGCCGTGACACGGAGCTTGAAATCCGCCGATCCGGCGTGTGAGTTTCAAGGAGTCTCAGCTACAGCCTCGAGGCTGAGCTTCAGCCTCTGGGGGGGTCGCCGGGGTGGCTCTGCCGGGGAAGGGGGGGTGGGGGGGGGGGGGGGGGTGCGAGTTTCCGGCGAACCCCGGGGCCGCTCCGGGGGAGTGGAAGATAGGGGGGGGGGGGGCGCCATGCTCCGCTTTTTCCGGCGCTTTGGAGGAGGGGGGGGGCCCAAGAGACCCCCAAGGGGTTCCAAGAGGGCCCCGAGTCGCCGAAAAATCGCTCCAAGACGCCCGAGATGGCCTCCAGACGGCCCAAGGTGTCTCCAAGACGCCCCAAGAAGCTTCCAAGAGGCCTCCCAAGAGGGCCCCAAGAGGCCAGAATCGTTGATTTTCATTGGTTTTCTCAGGGTTTTTAGCGTTCTTGCCTTTTCGGGCGTCCGACGCTCGAAGACGGCCCAAGAGGCCCCCAAGTCCGTCCCAAGACGGCCCACGATGCTTCCAACACGGCCCAAGAGAGCCCCAAGACGGCCCAAGAGGGCCCCAAGACGGCCCAAGAGGGCCTCTGGACAGCCCAAGAAGGCCCCAAGAGAGCCCCAAGAGGGGCCCAAGAGGGGGACCACGAACCGAAAGAACCGAGCTTTCCGCCCCAAGAGGCCCCCAGGAGGCCCCAAGAGACCCCCAAGGGGCCCCAAGAAGCCCACAAGAGGCCCAAAAGAGGTTCCAAGAGGCCCCAAAACAGCTCCCCAGAGGCCTCCAGACTGCCTCCGGCAGGCCCCCGGTTTCTTCCGCGGCACCGCCCAGGGCGCCACCGGCAGGATGTCCTCCGTCTCATCGTTTTCCTTCAAGTTATCGCCTCTTCCTCATTCTCCTCCTCCTCCTCTGCGACCTCACTCCTATCCCTCAACGATCGCGTCACCGAGTGCCTCTTCTTTGAAACATCCTCGCTCTTCAAACGCACATCCATACACACATGCATACATACCTACATTTAAACACATTTGCATACATAGAAAAACAATCTTCCAGACATACATACTTACATTCACACACATACACACATATTATCATACACACATACAAACATACATACAAACTAAATACATACATACGCGCACAAGCATACATACATACATACGTACCTACACACAGGCACACATGATCAATGCATGCATACATGCATGCACGCGTACATACACACACATATATCGTGAAACTCACCGCGTGCTCGAAACTTGAGAGAGACCGCGGGAAGTCGAGAGAAGCCGCGGAACGAGGCCTCTACTACTACTACCACTACTACCACAACCACTACTACTACTACTACTACCACTACTACTACTACTACTACTACTACTACTACTACTACTGCTACTACTACTACTACTACTACTACTAATACTACTACTAGTACTACAGGAGCGTTTCCCAACTAGTATGTGTGTGTGGGTGATGCTGTGTGCGCATGTCTGCGGCGCAGGTTAAGTGGTGTGACTGTGTGTGTGCGTTTGAGTGTGCGCCCATCATTTCTGCGTCTGGAGAATAACCCCGAGCGACCCGGATCGGCGGCACTGGCCGAAGGCCACTACAATAATGACGAAGGCGCTGCAGCGGGAGCACAATTCGGAACGAGCGGAAGCGCGGAAATGAGGCCAGCACTGCAGCGGGAACACGGTTCAGAGGAGGCGTGGCCTGACACATGGCGTGGCGACGCCCCAAAGTGGTCGGGGGGGCTTCTGCGACCCCCAAAGTCAACGAATCGACACCGAAAGTGAAATCACTTCCAATGGTTTTTTCGGGGGGGCATGTTCTAGAAATTGGGGCCTACTTGGAAGGACCGAAAACCATGCCGTGGCATGGCGCTGCAAATAATGACGCCGGCGCTGCAGCGGGAGCACAATTCGGAACGAGCGGAAGCACGGAAGTGAGGCCAGCGCTGCAGCGGGAACACGAGTCGGAACGAGCGGTAGCCCGAAAATGAAGCCAGCGTTTCAGCGAGAGCAGCATCTTTGGAACAACACAACGAAAAACAAAAAACAAAAAAAAACAAAAAAAACGAGAACCCAACTCCCAGGAACCCTGTTTTAAAAAAGCAATACGCGGAGGGGGGCTGGCCCTTCCCCGGACGTCACCAGGAGAGAAAGGAGAGCAGTATTCATATTGTACAATTGTGGAGGAGGGAGAGGAGGGAGGGGGGAAAGGGGAGGAGGGGGGAGAAGGAGGGAGGGGGGAGGTGGGAGGAGGGAGGGGGAGAGGCGCAGGGGGGAGGAGAAAGGAGGGGGAGGAGGGGGGAGAAGGAAGGAGGGAGGAGGGGGAAGAAGAGGGAAGGACGGAGAGAGAGGGGGGGTGAGGGAGGGGCCCCTCTTCCTCAGAGCGGCCGTGGTCCTGGGAACCAGCGGACGGCCCCAGGGGCAGAACAGATTTGGGACGGCGGAAAGTGGGGGGGCGCTGGAGGAGGGTCAACTCTTCCTCTAAGGCAAAGCCTGCGATCTGGGCCCAAGCCTGTGGCGCCCTTGCCCGAGCCGTCCTCTGCGGACGCGGCCCACGCCCCCGCCGCCCGCACTGCGCCCGCGGGCCGGTGCCTGGGTGGCGCCGGGTTTCTGCTCGCGGTCGGGGCCCGTGCCCTCGCCGCCGCGCACTCCCGGCGGGGCCAGCGCCCTCGCCGCCGCGGACGCCCCGCGCGCCCGTGCCCGAGTGGCACCTGGGCGGGCGGGCGGGGCCCGCGCCCTCGCCGCCGCCGCGCGGGCCCCGCAGGGCCCGCGCCCGGGCGGCCGCCGGGTGCGTGGTCGGGGCCCTCGCCGCCGACCCTGCGCCCCCAGGCCGGGTGTCTCTGGGCGGGCGGGCTGGCGGGCAGCCTCGGACCCGTGCTCAGGGGTGTGCTCGCGGACGGTGCCCTGGACCTCGGCGCCGAGGCTGTGCCCGCCCCGCTTCTGGGAGCCAGGGCCCGGGGCCCCAGGGGATGGGACTGCGCCCTGGCCTCCTGAAGGCCCGTGCCTACCGGCGGGCTCGGCAGAGCTCCCGGCCTGCATCGTTTGCACGCGTGGCCCGCGCCTTGCACCCCAACGCGCGCGCACGCGTGCTCCACTGGCACTCCTTGCGCACGCGCGCGAGCACACGCACGCACTGCGGTTAGCTTTTGCGCGTTCACCACGCGCGCAACACACTGCGCGAGTGGCAGGCGGAGTGAAACCCCCACTACCACCTGCCGAAGAGTGTCGGCGTCCACGCGCTGGTCGCACGATGAGGCAACGCACTGCTGTTAGACCAGGGCACGCGCGTCGCCGCAACTGTGCTCCCATCGCCCAACGATCGCGTGCCAGACCCATCGTTACGAGCGCCCGTGACGGCGTGCGTGGGGGGCGGGGGGGCGGAGGGAACGGAGGGATTGACGAAAACCGAACTCGCCCAGCCCCCTGCCCAGAGCAGGGCGGCAAAGCCACCGCCGCTGTCCAATGTACCTGGCCATGCCCCGCCTGAGCGAACCAGGGCCCGACCTCGCTGCTTTGAGAGTCCAACCTGAGCGGCGTTTTGCCGCACACGCTTCACGAACTGCTCCGCCGCCCTGGTAGAAACCAGGCTCGGCCTTTCCGCCAGGCGCGGGCGACTGCAAGGACCAGGTGGCGCAGCGCGCAGAGCAGCCTTCCAGACTGGCTTTGACAACATTTTCTGCCTGGTGACTGCAGGTCGACGGTCGGGCTTCCGACGGGTCAACGATATGCTGAAACTCAAGCCGTCGATCACGACAGAAGAGCGGGCCCCTTCAGTCTCGAGCGGGATGCACTCCGACGGCATGCGGAACGTGCGCAAACGACCAAGCGCGTAGAGTGCGGCTTGTTCAAACTCCTGGCGGGCCTCCGCGCGGGCAACCAGTCTCCGAACCTGCAGCGCCTGCAAGGCTAGCTTCTGACGCGGCGGCCTGGCCATCTTCCTCTGGCCCCCTTGGGACCTGGCGCAAAGACTTGCTGTGCCAATCGTCGCTCAAACGGAGGGAACGGTGGGCCCACCGCAGGTGAGACGTGTAACTCTTCAGTGCAACTGGCTGCCGGAACCGGAAGCAATACCCAGTGGCATCTTGCTCGCCTGCGGGAAGATGTCGGTCCTTGCCCGACGCGTCCACGAGAGCCGCGCAGCACCGGATGCCTGCTGAATATGACGGCAAGGAGCGGCCGATAGCAGCGATCCTGCTCCCCTGACCCATCTCGTCCAACCGTGCGCCAGCGCCGGCGCCAGCTATAGATGCAGCGCCTCCCGCCGCCTGCCTCGGTGGAGGGGGAGCCGACGCGAGGCGCCTCCGGCCAGCCGCCCCCGCCCGCGTCGCAAACGCGGGCCAACCCCTGGCGTCTGCGACGGGCTGCTCGCTCCCGCACTCGCACAACGCCGGGGCGA